AAAGAAATAGAAGAGTGTATAGAAAATGAAGCCGCAAAGGGGAAAGCCATTAAAGTTGTAATGGAATATATCGACCAAAAAATTGATGCACATTACTTTAAAATGTGGTCTACAAAGAAAATGGCAGAAGTATTACCAAAGACCCTCATGCACTACCAGTGCCATAAAGTCATATCCGGGCAAGCATGGAGAAACTGCAATATAAAAAGAGTGGCATTTATACAAGTAGTTAAAATGCAAGAGGGTGCAACATATGTGGGCACAAGTAGAGCAATAATAACAAAAAATAAAAGCGAAGGAAAATGTTATTGCTGCAAGAACCAAACAGCAAATATACCACACGTGCTATTGAATTGCCCCATAACAAAAAAGAGCCAAATGGAAAGACATAATTATGTATGTTGTGAAATACATGTGGCACTATTAAAACAACTTAAACTGGTGACACCGGAAATGAACTTGGGTACATCACCGAAATGTATTGCAAACCCAGAGGCAAAAAATGAAGTTTTAGCAGAGAAGAACTTGTTGGGAGACGACAGAGTATGCTTTGCAAGAAGTCCTGATATTTACTGGCAAAGCAATGAAACAAAAAAGGCTATATTATTGATGTAACCATTGTGGAGGATGAAAATATAGCAAAAGCATACATGCGGAAAATTATCCAAGTATAGAATCTTGGCCAATAAACTAAAACAGGCAAGGGATCTCAAAAGTGTCATGATAACACCTGTTGTCATCACGACCAGTGGACTGATTCATAAACTATCAGTAGAAAGGCTGGAGAAAATACTGAAAATCAAACTTGATTATAACAAAGTACTGCGTCATGTGATTGTCACGTGTATGCAGGACTTAATGATATACATGAACCATGGATCTCCGTCTTATGAAATAGAACAATCTGTAGACGCCGAGAGAAATGAGAACTCATTGACTGATGTTGATGGGGGCGAAGAAAGGGTTGTGGAAGATTACTCTTCTTAGCTATGCAAACCCGGGATTATAATTTCAAAAGAAATTGTCTGAAAGGTAAGTCATAATTTAATTCTTAGCTTTTATCATTTTAAGATCTCCAAAGTCAAAAGTTCTTTTGTTTGCAATAGACAATCTGTGTAATAAACAGTGATTGATCTTAAATAATGGACGTAAGTCATCAGTGAGCATACGGTACATGATACCCACAATACAAATTCCCATTGATATACCCATATCAAGTCCATCGCAACAAAACCCTCTAAACAAGTCGAGTGGGATATTGTGGTCTTTGAGTACAATAGTTATCCATTTGGTCAAATTCTTAGCAGTACTTCTCCTCCAAAACTCACCAATTTTAATTTTAAGTGTTTTCACTTCAAAATGGTCTGTCAAAAATCTACCATAAAGAGACACCGTCTCTACGCCATTAAACTTCACCGTATCAACAAGAAGAAAATATCCATAAAAATGTTTTACAACATTATTAAGTTCATTTATAGTCACTTTTCCTATAATAACCATTTTTCTTTGTATTGTTTTTCCGCTTATTTTCATTTTCAATGCATTTTCTGGCACTTCACATATCATCAAAATAATTTTAATGAGATCAAAAACATCATTACACTGTCTACAACTCAGATTCATACTTGTAAAGAATAAAACACACAAAAGAACTACGTATTTTTTTCTCAATTTTGCCGTATTTTTATTTATTGTAAATTCATCTAGAAGTCTTTTTAATTCTTCTTGTATACAACGACAGACCCCATCGCCTATTCCTTTTGTTGCATTTTTGGGAAATTCTTTTTGTTTGAATTGATAAGTTTGATTATATTTTCCATTATTTCACTTTCCTTTTCAACGTTTTTTGATTTTTCTTGATCTTTTTCTTTTGCAATTTCTTCGTTTAATTCTTCAAAAGCGTAATAATTTTGTTGAAAGTCTTTACTAGTATCTTCATAGTCATTTAACAATCCATAGTCACCACTATCCATTTTTTCATCTTTTCCTGTGTAGATACTTTTTGTGATTTTGAGGTGTTATCAACCATTTGAATGTGTGTTTCATTTTCATTGTAGATTGTGTGATTGTGTCGAAATTCTTCACATATTGTTTCAAGTCATCTAAGATATCAATAAGTTCATCTCTTGTATTTTTCACTTTATTTTCGATAGTTTTCAATTCATACTTAAGTTTTTCATTAGTTCGGGTATCACAACATTTACTCAAATTTTCAATTAAAAAGTAATTAAAAACGTCAAAATTGTTCAATATAAGGTTTTGAAGAACAAATCCTTCAACTTTGGCTGATTGTTGAACTTTTGTTGATTGATGTA